TTTTGAGATTCGAGAGTAGACAAGGACTCCAATAATCAGAACAACCATCGTGACAGAGTGATCTGGATAGAGTCTGCGAAGTTCGAAGAGAAAATCTCGATATTTTATCCGTTTTTCCTCCTCTTTTCTGACGATATTCGTCTCGCCAGGAGCTGAAAACTCCACGACAAATATCGTTTTGCTCTGGTGGTCGAGAAGGACCACATCAGGCGTATTAGCTTGTATTAGCCTGAGGGTGGGGAACGAATAGTTCCAATAAATTCGGCAATTCTCGTTCCCCACAACGAATTCAATATCTTCGGAGCGTAGGGCAACACCGGTGTCTCGTCAATACCGTAAGAGTGTCGTAGATGGTAATATAGCAAACTCAGGGCCGCGTTATGTCGATGGATATAGGCCGAGACCGCATATGCTGGACATGCTGATAGCAAGTGCATTAGGGTCTCGGGCGCCTCGCGGCAGGCCCTGCACCTTGTGTCAGGAACCTCTATACCCATCACGCGACTGCGGTAGACTAAGGTGTTGAAGACACCATCCTGGCAAGCCATGATGAACCCCTCAGTTTCAGACTTCAGCCCACTCGACCTGAGAAAAGCGAACGTCAGGCGCTTTGATAAGCCAAGGTCTCCAATGTTATTGAAGAAGACCCCATACATTGGCTTTTTGCTAAACAGGTTCCAACTCTATTATTATTATTCAAATGTCCACCACGGCTTCTCTGAATGGGTCGCATCCGAAACGTCCAATTTTCCATGACTTTCGCATAAATCTGACTGAATTTTACCGATGAGTTATGTTGGCTTCGAGGACCGATGTGATTTGTGGCTTATTCGCATACACCTGCGACTTGAGAAAACCCCTAACGTGGTCGAATCGCACGAACTCGGTGACCAGTTGACATCACCTCCACGTGAGATGACCATACCCTCAAATCGCATGTAGCGCTGCCCTGTTGGAACCACATGTTTCAGGTGTCCAGATCATCCAAATCTGGTCAAGAGAAGTTGGTAATCATCGCTCGCCGTTGACAGAGATGACCTGGCCAACGTCGTTCCCAAAGAGATATGGACGGATGGATCCGGCAGCCCAAAATCCCCACCAAACAGTAATTTTTTTGGATACATTGGACGCTCTTTGATCTCATGTCGATTGTTATCGTCCCAAATTCGACATTTTGATGGGGTTCATGTACCCATTCATCAAGAAATGGGTCTCATCGCTAAAGATGATTTCTCAATGAAAATTAGGATCAGTTGCCAACTGCTCCAGAGCCCATTCAGCCAACATATGTCGTTGTCGATTATCGTTTGCCTTCAGTTCCTGAGTCATGAATAGTGCTCGTTATTGCCCTTGCCGGAGGCCTTTCAATGGAGCATATTTTCTCTATCTATCGCCCCCACTGTAAAGAGAACCCCTACTCTTCCGAACTTGACCCCCTCAACGTGCCGGTGACGCGTGACGTCGACCACACGAGTGGACGAACCAGCGGAGGCAGAAGACCCTTCGTTGTTTCCCAAAATAACATTTACAATTATGATTACAATATGCAATTACAATAACAAAATAAACATGAATTCCAATATTATATACATGGTTAGACAGCACTATAACATCTATGACTATCATGATTGGAGAGACCGCCGTTTGCCCTCCAGTTGATTGGCAACAAACTCACAGCCTGCCTTTCACCTTTCTCGTTCATTTCTCAACACATTATCTGCCCATTCATTGACAAACCTTATCCATTCGCTATTCCTTCCGTTCTCTCCTCTCAATGCTATCTCTTCATTTTCCCGCTCCTTATATTCTTTCCATTCGCGCCATCCAGTCCACTACATCCATGCATCTTTCTTTCACGTGTTCTGCCGTTTCGGGCTCACCGTAACCGGAGAAACATGGTAGTTCCGGGCCCAGGTTAAACCTGGCAAAGTATCCCGGAAAATTACCATGTCCCGTAAGCAGCTAGGTGGCCTTCCGCGACAGATTCAGTGATTCACTCTCGACTGTCCTGCAGAATCTGTAGAACAGCCGCCCAGACTCTCCCGTGTCCCATTTCCTCTACCACTCTGTCCTGATTCGTTCTTTGATCCTCTTCCTCTCCTCATTCTTACTACATCCCATGTGACCTCGAGGTTCCTCATGCCTTTCATCGCCTCCTCATGAGCCTTCTTGTTTCCGAGATTGTTGCTCTCGTGGTCGCGCTTCCAGATTAAGCAAGTCCGCGTTCCCCTCGCATTCCTGTTTTCTATCATCCTCTGTATTCTTGCTACTCTTTTGTTCCTAGTTCTTGCTGCTTTCATACGTTCCACAGCCATGGCAGGATCGCTTATCACGGTCAAGCTCTCATTCATATCCTATATACCAATCACTTTCTCGATCGCTATCAATTCTGCCTCATTCACACTACTCTGTCCGGGGATTCTTTTGTTCCCCTGTACCCATTCATTTTCTTCCCGTTCGTACGCCCAGCCTATGCCCATTCGTTTGTCTTCCAATCTCGCCTCAGTATCCACATACACTTTTGTCACTCTCTCTCCTCCGGCAACATTACATACAGCCATGGGAGTATTCTTTCCTCTTCCTTCACTCTGTCCTCATTCTTTCTTCTCCCATTCACCCTCCATTCATGATGTCTGACACTCGCCTCAACGTGAAGCGGTGCCATACAGAGCGCCGTCCTGTAAGCTCCACATGAAGCGAGCAGGGTAAGTCGAAATTTGTACAGGTGCAGGCCCGAGTCACGACGCAAAATTCGCCAAGTTTTTTTTTTCTGCATATGCCAAACTGAGATAGGTACGTCTGTTGTGGAGAGATGACTCTCCTGTTGCACAGTAGATGCTTTCAACTGGTGTTGTACAGAAAGCAACTAAATATATTCGTAAGGCTCTGTTGTGGATAGTGTCGAGTAACTTGAGTGTTGTCTTGTTCGCCGAGATGTATGCAATACATCCAAAGTCCATGTTAGATCTGATGAGTGTTCTGTAAACGTGCTGTATTATTTGACCATCAGATCCCCACTCTTTATGTGCTAACGTTTTCAACATATTCAGTCTTCTGTTACACGATTCGGCTAGGCTTTTGATGTGTGCATTCCAATTCAGTTTGTCATCAAATATCATACCCAAGAACTTTATGGTTTTGACATATTTAAGATATTGCCCATATAGGTAGAGGGGTAGTATATTGGCCGTTTCTTTTCTTTTCGCCAAGTTTTGGTCTGCAAAAAGCCGAGTTTTTGTGAGCAACGCAAAATCGACTGCCTCTGATTCTCCTGCATACTCTCATAGGCAGCGGCAATATTTTCGGCAGAGCTTGCGTTTCATAGGCGTACGGGTGTGGGTCGATCGTTCACTGAACCGGTAAACTCAAGTTCATTCAGCACATAGCGAATAGTCCTCTCGGTAGGATGATTATGGAAGACCCTATGTATAGGGTCGATATTGTTTATGTTTATGTTTATGATTAGTTTCTGGGTGAAAGTTTGTTTGGCTCAATCTTTATACAAAAATTGGAAGAAAAATCCCATTCTAAACACCTACTCCCAAGCTAGGAATTTGTTTTTTTTTTTTGATTGATTGATTGATTCATTCATTTAAGTAGGACAATCTAGGTATCCTCTGATCCAATTGAATACTTTACCCTCTACACCATATTTATTTACTTTTTTTAATAATGTCTCTCTATTTACTATTTCAAAAGCCCGTTTAGATCCAGTGATACTGCTATAGTGTACAGATGATCACTCATTTTTTTCTTCCATTTAGTGACAGTGAGTTGTATAGTTGATTCACATGAGTGCTTCGATCTAAAGCCAGACTGATTAGTGAATAGCAAATTATTTGAGTTAATATTTTCTAATAACTGTTGATGAACTACTGTCTCTAATAGCTTTTCTTCAAATGGCAAAGAATTGATTGGTCTAAACTCACCACTTTTACTAGTATTTGCAACCTTTTCAATAGGTGTAACAGTGCTGGTTTTCAATGCCTCGGAAAATGTGCCATTTTCCAATGATACATTCACAAAGTGGCACCACACATGCCCAATAACATCAAAGCTATTTTTCACAGCTTTACTGTTTAGTTCATAAATTTGACTTCCTTTATTTTCTGGATTTTTCATAATTATACCCAACTCATGTATAGATACTAGTTTAAAATTACTGAATTTTTTTTCACTCCAATGTGTATTACAAGAAAACTCAATATCTTCAATACTAGACACCATATCATCAATACTATTGCCAAAGAACTCATTAAAATGCCCAGAATTCTCTTCTTTATCTCTTAAACAAAAAATCAGACAATTTTTTTCGAATTGGTACACACCACTGCAGAAATCATTATCGATTTTTTTAGGGTTTATTAATTTTTTTAGCGTTTTAGCGTGGATTATGCATATTTCTGTCAATTTGGTTATAATAGTAACAATTTTTTTCTCTTTTATCAAATCCACTACAGCGTTACGTTTTTGTTTATAATTTTCCCAGTTGGTTGTATTAGAGATACTTTTGAAGATTTTATATGCACGATCTCCTTCTCTGCTTATTTTTTTTATATTATCGTCATACCAAGGTAGGTTGTTTACGCCTCATAATTGTTTTCAGGGGTGCGATCTTAATAACAATTTTGCCTACAATGTCCTTAATAGTGTTGTAAATATCTATACTATTCAGTAGAAATTGACTATTAATTAATTTTAAATTTATGGTATGCAGGTTTTCATCAGTTAAATTTCTAATCATTTTAGTGCATCTCCCTGTGCACCTTCAGTTATTGAATTGAAACAGATATTATTTCTATAATTCATATATGATTTGCTATTTCGAATATCATAAAACCAATTTTGTACATATATACATATGAAGCACGTTGCAAGTTGAATGAAAGCTTGTAACTTTTAATTATTGAATTCCTCAACTCACGCACGTCCTCCTCCGACGAATTCAATAAACGACAGTCTCTTTCAGCCACACACATATTATTCGACATTCTACATACCTTCAAATGCTGAAAACTACCCTGTTGAGGAGGGAATCCCAGTGTGGGACGGTGACCTCCCCCTGGCAGACGGAATGTGGTAATTTTCCTTCTGGGTTCGCTTTGAGGCGGCATTCCGTATAAGCGAGCAACTTCCTCGAATGCCTTATGTCTTTGGATAGGATTGTGTACTCTCAAATAGGACGGGCCTTGTACTATCCGACCGTATACCGGTCTACTCTTGTGACGACTTATTCTCTGTCTGAAATAACAAAAGAATTGTTACGAGCCACGTAGCGAAAAGTTTGTATGTCGGAATGGTGTAGCTTTCTCAAGAATTGGCCGAGCTTCGGACAGAAGGTAATAAAATAAGAGACGAACGGTAGTAGTATACCTGGACTGTTCAAGAAATAGAGTGTTAAAATTGCAAAATTTTCGTAAATTTCGGGTATGAAGCGTGTGACAGCGATATTTGTTCCAAAATTGCTGAATTTTGACCCAGAAAACCGTTGCATGAGCATCGCTCATGCAACGGTTTTCCAGATTTGCTTAAAATCTTCATAACCGATGGTGACAAATAATGGGTATAGACGGTTATGACACAGTAAAAATTAACCGGTAAGTCAACTCCCACTACTTTCATTCATGAATTCATAAGTTCTCGGTGACCTCGAAACGAAGTGCGGAGCCGATTTCGTTATTTTACAATAGACGTGCGCTCATATTGAATCGAAATTTAAGGATATTATAGAAGACTTTGTGGTAAGTTACTTATTCCGAAAGGCGATTTCACCGGCTTTTCAAGAGTCTAACCGTTGAAACATGCGGCCCACACATGTGTTGATATCGCCATCCGGCCAGCCTGAGCAAAAAATCCGGCCGTTGACCATTTGGAAAATGTTCACAGCAGTTTTAAATGTATATTATCTTTTTGTTTCACTTTTCTTTCTCTCTTGTATTGAATAATTTTTTTTTATAATGTAGATACATATAATATAGGCGGGTTTGCCGTCCGTGTTCATCTTCCACTGCCTGAACCACTGTGCATGCTGTTTTTGGCGAGTGCATTGGCTTGGTATGTGGGGGTTGAGCAAACCGGCCATCGGATGCCTGTTTCCACGTAGCCCCGCTGGATACGGGAATGACAGAATCACTTGTGGTGAGAGGATGAATGACACTGAGCCTATCAGCTGTCTCTACGGAACCTTCGAGATACCGGGCGCCCTTTCGTCGTAGCATCGCCTTGTCACGGTAATGCGGGGCTCTGCCGTGATTGGCCTTCTTTCCCTAGCTACTCGTGGGACTTTTATGGACAGAGTAAACTCAAAAATTCTTTCTTACGCTTTACGCTGAGTCTATAGAGGAGATGGATGTCGAGCTTACGACTTCAACTAACTTCCCTGTGAACTTAGATCAAGAGCGAGTCTACAGAGGAAATGGATGTCGAGTTTACGACTCCAACTGACCTCCCTGTGAATTTAATTCAGGAGCGAGTCTACAGAGGAGATGAATGTTGAGTTTACGACTCCAACTGACCTCCCTATAAATTTAGATCAGTAGCGAGTCTACAGAGGACATGGATGTCGAGTTTACGACTCCAACTGACCTCCCTGTAAATTTAGATCAGGAGCGAGAGCTTCTCAACTCCCCAACTCCTGATCCAAAAACTGAACCTGAAAAAAAGGTTTGGTGGTGCAGCCAGGAAACGACTGAGTCGTCGGGGTACCTTATAAAACCGTCTTGCACCAAATTCTTGAGCGGCGTATGCAGAATCTGTCTCAGGTGGGGGAACAAACCACCCATGAGCAGGCTAGCAAACATTTGCGCTCAAGTGATGATTCACCAAAACCAGAGGCAAAAAAGCCCTGCACGGCTGAATCTAAGGCATCGTGAGGTGTAGCTGACATGCAAAAACCCTCATATGGAAAGGTTGCTGTGAGTATCAAGATGAGAAGCTTGCAACTTGACTATTCGACTACCTCATTAACAGAGCATATGCCCGCTGGAGACCCCGCTGTAGACCGAATCACGTCTATAGAGTTCGGCAGAGTCGTACTCTTACCATCTGACCTGAAAGACCACTCATCATACAAACTAATCGGCTTCGTTAAGAAGCTGGGTTTTATTTGGCTGACTGTGAATAGATGCGAGCCACAATAAACCCTTGCGGATACGGTGAAGGGTCGAATAGACTCACTCACTTTGGACCTAACCTAACCTACATAAAATATAATCTGTTGCAAATAAGTACTGATGTGAATTAACGAAAGAAGAGGTGTTATTGTTTCGACCCATGATCGTTTTATCAAGAGTATGAATTATTAACACACACAAGAACTATATCAACTCTTGTGGAAAGGTAAGATAAGATGAATGACTGGCAAGATTCACTGTAGAAAAGACAAGGTTTATTCTGACTGTACTCTTACAAGGTTCAAAATGTAATTAATGCAAATTTACAATACAATATTCTACTAGCTAGTTAAAGAGGGGGTCAGCGTGATCATTATAGGGAGAGAAGAGATGCTCGGATCAAAATAGGTAGGAAAAGGTCAAAATAGCAGTTAAGTCTCAAGAAAAAGGGACACTTCCTTTAAATTTTCACCAGGACAGGTAGTATTATAAGAGTAGTGAGCTAATGGTTGCTTCCAATTTGAAAATATACCTCTGCAAGTTTCCTTCTCAACTCTTCATTTTCTTTACACAATTTTTCGTCTTTTCAAAGCATTTGCACTTATAACGTTTTTGAACTCTTTCTCAGCTTCTCCTTCCTAACTGTATAGCTTGATGAAATCGCAGGTGTCTGAACATAAATCGTACTAAACTTGGGGGACGAGGTTGGGACAGAAGAGTCTACTGAATCTATTAGCGGTTCTTCGTTTTTCTCAAAGGTTCTTGGCAATGTACCAGATTTTGGGGATAACGTTGAAGTAGAAGGGATAGCCAAGTCTATAAAGGTGTGTTGTCTGTCCCAGAGATTCCTAAAATGGAAAATGACAAAACGGTAAAAGGTATTGTTTAATATTGTTTAAAAACAAATCATCATAAACGACATTATCATACCTATATTAGTACTTAACTTTGATGTCCTGATAAATATCTTTGGTACGGCATTCTGTCGTAGGATTTTTTTCTTATGGCTACTTATCATCACATTATTTCAAAATGACTGCCACATAAACGATAACTGTTTTTGTACAGTGTTTCTAATTTGTTAAGCAAATCAGCTCTGCAGCATGCTTTAAGCCATATTTTTGCCCTAGGATAAAAATCATACGGATTGAATAACTTATTGTGTACTTACTCACCTTTCGGGAATCTATACAATTTCTCACTAAAATTGTAGGCCTTGTTTGTGCAATCATTGAAGCATCAAACATTTCCTGGCTTCTTCAACACTGTCTTTTTTACATCTCCCATTTTCTAATCACCTAATAGTTAATCAAAAAAACCAATAACCAACTACAAAAACTAGAAACAATAATAACAACAACAGCAAATAAACTAATTTCCAAACGTTTATTATGACTAATCTGATGCCCGTGGTAACGTCGAATCCTTTGATACTACAGCACTGGCTTTTTTCTGGATGGAATCCAGCCGCTTCAGGGTATGTTTAGGGGCGAAGCTTCATATATGTATGTGAACGATACTCCAAAGAAGGTGTGATCTGAGCATTATGAAGCATCAAACAGTGTTTCTCAAGCAACTTAATGCTGTCGGTGGATATGTGCATTCGCAGCCGATATCCTAGAATCCAAATAGAATGACGAGACAAGTGCCCTGTTATCAGCAAAAAAATATATTGGAGAGTTGATGGTGAAAGTATTCGAGAGATTAGAGGGTTGGAGACAATATGGATCCCTGGGAAACACCAGCGTTGAAAGTGGTGAACATATTCGAAAGAGATCCATCGACGGTCACTTGCAGAAAACGTTCTTTCAGGAAGCTGAAGAGCCATACACAAAAATGGTCCGACAAGCAATAGCATGGAAGTTTGGCAAGCAAACCCTCATACCACACACGGTCAAAGGCCTAAGGAATATCAAACGCAACAGCTCTTGACTCTTCATGTTTCTCGATTGCCAAATATGGGTGACATAAGATAAAAGGTCGCCAGTTGATCTTTGTTTCCGAAAGCCATATTGATGATCGCTCAAGATATTGAAGCTTTTCAAATATTTGAGGATATTGTGCTTTACGGCTTTCTCCATGATTTTGAGTCAATTTATATTCTCCTGATCTAGCAGACACTAAAGTTTTGTCCATACTGTTTTCAATGAATTTTATTGAATAATCATTTTTCCAGTGAACCACATCCAAGTCTGTCCTTTTCAAAAAACGAGCAAAGCTATTGGTGGGTTCACCAAAGTAAGTAAATGTCCTATGACGCTGAATATCGTTTCTTGAAGTGGAGTAGATCTGGTTAATGGTTTGTTCCAACAGTTTTTTGGAGTCGATAATATCTACCTTGTAAACGATGTAGACAGCGATTTGTTCGTTGAAATTAAATTCTTTGTGAAAGTGATATATTTCCATAGTCTTTGAGTCATACTATTGAAAGCTGCTACTTTATGTTGGTAGGGATGTGTCGATGAACTATGTATAGTAGTGTCAGTAAAAGATGGTTTGTGGAAAATCGCGAAATCATATTTATTATTAATATTTGTAATAGTTACGTCAAGGAACTTTACTGAGTGGTGAATTTCATTGCTGGGTGAATGGAATTGAAAGATCAGCCAAACTTGCCCAACTGTCTAGCTCTAACAGTAAACCAGACTGAGATATCATCTACGTATCTGCACCACTACAAGAAACTGTTAGTCAACTGATTATCATGAATTCCAGCTAACAAAGACTCACTGGGTTTCTCATTATTATAAGCCCTCCGCTGCATGAATAAAACTTATCATTGAATTGAAAACAATTATGAGACAGACAAAGAGTGAGTAGGTCTAGAATTTCCTGTTTCACTACAGGATTAACATGGTTTCTGTCTGAGAGACGCTCAACCAACTCAATTGTTTCAATAGGCGGAATACTGAGAAAGTTTTGAACATCAAACGATATAAATTTTGTGTGTTCAGGAATAGTAATGTTTTCAATGTTATTCATTATTGGATATGTAATATTCATACTGAGTCGCGGTTTGAATTGAGTGTGATTGATGATTAATTGTGTGAAATTTTTACGGATGAAACCGTCTTCAATATGGCCTCAAAAATTTAGGTTTTTTGGAGAGCTATTAACTGTTGATTCATA